CTCCTGAACTTCGGTACATGAGAACTCACCTGTCGGAATGTTTAAATTATTGTCAATGATTTGTCTTCTATGGGGATCGACAGGACTAGGATTCTTATTAGGTGCCCATTGTCTTTCATAAAGATACTCAGCCAAGGCATGTGCTTTCTTGTTCATGGGTACCCTGTTGCCGTGTATATCTTTCATGCTATAGAAATTGGGGACAAAAGGTTTCTTCTCGTATCGAATATTACGCCAAGCTTCTTTTACATCAGACAAGTCTTGCAATCGCTCCATCTTCCATGACTGTTTATCTTTACGCGCTTGTTTTGTAATCTCTTTGTTCAATGCCTTCTCCTCCTCTATCTTGCCATTATCTCTAGCTGTTTGTCTATCCTTTATCAACTGCCATGTCTCATCACTTATATAAGGCTTTGCAATGGCTTTATGTCGTCTGAGAAAGGATTGGTTTGCAGCGGTCTTCATTGCCATAGCAAAACGCTCACAGTTGGACAAGCCCTCGTCTTGTCCATGCTCCAAGACAAACATGCTGCGAATCCGTTCGTTGTAGGTCTCTTTTTGTCCTGAAGTCGGAAGGAAGTATCTTACTACCGGATCTTTTTTCCTCGGGGCATGGGCCTTCAGTTTGAGCCTTACTGCTGCTGTAACGATGGCGTGGTCGCTGTTGAACGCAATGTCAGGTCTTGATTCCACATCCGTGATACTATTTCGAAAAGTGTTGGGTGCTAAAACAAAATCTAGTTGTGCGAACCTATCTGGAGTCCATGGGCTTTTGAAACCTTCTGTCGAAGCATCCTTGTACGTACATTTCTTGTGATCTGGCTTCGGGAAAAATGTGTTCATGATTGCAAATTCATTTGTAATGCAAAAATCGATTAGGAATTGACGGTTGTCTCGTTGTACTTCTGGGAGGTTTGGGACATGTTGTGGGCCGTATCCAAAAACATGTCTGCCCATAACTTGATCTTCGACTTGGCTTATACTGCCGTGTAGCCTGGCGTTTGTATCACCCAAAATAAATGTCGGACCATGCTTCCCGCGGGCATGTACAATATCCTGTAACATGTCCCAGTGTTGCATTTTCTCCTCCAGTGGTTTGCCACTGTGTGGCGCATAATGGTTTACAAAACAAATGTCTGGGCCGTGGTTGGCCAATAAAACTTCTATGAACCTGCTGCTGTGCGGGATACAGTCTTTAACATGATCAATAAGTTTAGGACCTATAACAAAACCCACTCCATGATGTTCAACGACTTTATTTGCTGTTTTGGCTTTTGCTTTTGACTTTGCGTTTGCGCGCCTACCAGGTCGGTTGACCTGAACAGACCTCGGATGCTGTTCTTGCACATTAGAGCTAAAAACGAACTTGAACTTATCACCAGTCTTGTCTTGCACTTTTGTTTCTTCTGAACTGGAACTGACTTTAGTTTCTTGTATGGCCATGATGTCGATGCGGTGTTCTCGCATAATCTGCATGATTTGTTCGCGCTTTCCTGCTTCAACAAGCCCTCGGCAATTTAAAGATGCAACGGTGACTTTTTCCGCATACCTTAGCTTCGTTGCTGTCGTTTTGTTGGGTGAATGAGAATTTCCATTGTGGCTATGGCAACTCTGACTATTGTGGTTATGGTAACTTTCTGACACGCATTGATTTGACGAACTTGATCTGCTTCTTTTCTTGATTCTCGTTCTGGTCTTCCTTTCGGCTTGTCGTTGGGTTATAACTTGTCGTTGTCTCTTCCATGTTTGTATAAGACAATCATGTTGTTTTTTACTATGTCTAAGCAACTTCTTGGCATTGTGCCGGTCGTTGTGTTTCTGAAGTGAAGATGATAATTGTGATGACGCCTGCGTGTAGTCTTTAAGGTTTGTTCTCAGTAGGTTAGCTTCTTGGATTGCATCACCAAGTGGAGCGGCTGCAATCATCTTCCTCACCACTTCGCTGCTTGATGATTTTATTTTGCGCCAATTTCGGCGGTTCTCAGTTCTGTTTTCGTTCCATTGTTTATAACGGCTAAATCTCCGGATACTGTTCCTATTTCCTCTTCTCGTTTTATATTTATACGCACTTAAACTTGATTGTGAAGCAGCTCGGTGTGGGTCGTCATTCTGATGACGCTGCTGGCTCGGATCCTGGGCAGTGTTTGGGGCGGGGAAACCTGTCACATCACAAAACTGTTTATTTTCCAACGGCTCCGACCGCGCTGTCAACCCGGCTCGCCTCATGAAGGCGGGAGCTTTATAAAAACGATTGTACTTATGGTAAGGTAGGCCTGTGTATTGATAGATTACCTGATGTTTAGAGGGGACGGAAGTATTTATCGGGTGGGGTAGTGTGTATTCCCTCCTATAACTGCCATATGAAGATTGAGAGCTTCGGACTTCGTCCGTCGCGTATTCACACTGAGATTCACACTGAGGGTCTCCACCTGAAGCCGTGTATCTAGTGACTGCGTCCATCGTATGTTCACACTGAGATTCACACTGAGATCTGCCATATGAAATGATCGATGCTTGTACCCTGTTCGTGACATGTTCACACTGAGATTCACACTGAGAGCTGCCCCTTTGGAACGCGTTACCCCTCTTCCATCATCTCTTGTGCTTTCTCTTCATCCTTCAACGCCTGCTGTACATGCACATTACTCTTCCAATCATGTACAAGAATGAATTTGGTCCAATACGGGTTTCTTGCATCAAATGCAAAGTCCATAGCTGCATAAAGTCCCTTGCTACTGCCCTTTCTGCCCTCACCATGCTCTTTGTTCTTTCCCTTGCCTTTCCCTCTCCCTGTACTCGCTGATATCCTCTCGACGGTGGCTTCGAAATGAGCCTGCACATCATCAAAGATTGACTCATCAGCGAAAACAGAACATGTCGCATTTGCATAAGAGAAATGGAGCCAAATGAGGTAGTCGTGAGAGTACTTGATGCGAACCGCGTTCTCGTTCCACACTGGGTAAAACTCCACACTGTGACCATTTATGCATTCCATGGCTGCTTTCAGGAATCGTCCTCTCAATCGCGCATCTTCGCGAAGCGACTTTCGAATGCGAACTTCATGATTGGATTCTCGCCCTGCTGCCATAGACCACCACCAAAGCTTCAATCGCTTGTGAATGTAATTGTCGAGGAACCATTGAAAGACTTGATTCCGGTGCCATCCCGAGGAAAACTTTATCACGATGATGTTGCTGAGCTCGCCCCTAGTGTTCATCAAACTTTTGATGGCGTCGCGATCTTTTGACTTGGATTGATGAAGTACCCAATCTGCAAATGCGTTACGGTCTTCTTCGCTGGCATCTTTTGGAAAGCCTTCAATGGAGAGCGAAAGCGAGGCATTCCTCGCGTCATCTTGTAGCTTCTTCTGTAAAAGATGTGCATTAATACGACCATGAGACTCCACATCATATGTTGTGTCCTCCAGCTGCTGCTGCATCGTGTCTAAACGCTTGTTGGTGTCCTCCTGCTCTGTGCGCTGCCTTTTCCTCAACAAACGTAGCTCCTTCTGCATGTCCTCAACTGAGATTTCTTCTGTGTCCATGCGTTCTTCTTCTGATTCTGTACCTGTTTTGTCTGATGAGCTGGCGTTGGAATGTGAACTTACCGATCGTCTACGCTCTTCTTTGGCTGGTGGCATCTTCAGGGGAGTCTTTGTACCATCACTACGTACGGGAGTGCTGACTGTCATGTCCTGCATGCGAAGTGTCGTGAGTGCCATAGAAGGTGTCTCACTCTTTGATGCTTGCGTCTTTCTGGATTCCTCTGATATACTGGACTTGCGTGCCTCTGAACTCTCCTCTTCTGACTCACTGAACCTGGTTCTTTTTTCTGGCGCTGCAGCTTCTGCTACTGACTTGTTCTCGTCTGGTTGTGTTACGCTTTCCTCTTTCTTCTCGTTGTGCTCCGGCGTGAACTCCAAGCGCTTGCCTGTGGTTTTCTTCTCTGCCTCCTTGGCGGCTGCCTTCGTTGCTGCATTTGCTTTGTCCTCCTTCTTTGCTTGATCTTTTGTTTTGCGATCATCTTTGGGTGTTCTACTTTTGTCTCGTCCCTTTTCCATGGCTTCTCGACCTACGGTAAACCTACGCTCCCATGCTGCGACCCTCGAGCCTTTACAAAGGTGTACTACACATAATCCAAAGTATAGTTAAGTATGCTTGCAAGGGATTGAAGTACTACAGTTCATAGAATATACAAGGTCATTGTATGGCAGACATATCTGCACTCCGTGGAGGCATTGATATCAAGAGCCCGATACTCGAAAAAAACCACGCGGGGTTAAAAGCCCACTATGGATCTCTTATCCCCAAACAAGGTTATCACTTCTTGGTTCATATCGTCCTGCAGTCTATCAAGCTTTGCCACTTAAAACAAGCATGGGTCAGAAACAAGATTGGCGTTTGGTAGCTTGCAAAATCTTACATGCCAGCTACAAATACATATCCCAATAACATGCCACCAACACCTCAACTCGCTGGCACTGGCACGAGTACCGGATGGCCAAAGTCCCGCAAAAAGCAGCTCTGTCAAACCAAAGTTGTCATTGTCGTTATCGTTTTGGACGCTCAATTTGCCTCGGGTTTTGGAACTTCCAAGCAGATCGTCAAGCTTGAGTTTGCTAAGGTGCAGCCTGACAACCCTCAGTTTGCACAAGCAAGTGCAGCCGTGCAAGTCGCAGTTTGCGCAAGTGCAACCGAGAAGTAGCACTATGAGAACTAGTCGTACTAGTATTACCAGCAAGCACTACCAGTGGTGCAAGCAGTAGCACTCGAAGCACCAGTAGCGCTCCCAATCGTTATAGGGCTAGTATAGTACGTACTCATGTAACATACACACGAACCTTTTCGTTTTTTATTTCTAAAGCTAAACAACGCAAGGGGAATCCTAGACGAATCGACAAGAACCCGCTTTTTACATAACCTCTCGTTTTGAAGTCTTAACACATATCCGATTCGCGCCTGCAGAAGCCGGCGAGGCTTGCAGTGTGAGAAGAAGATCATCCTACACCCCATGCAAGCACTTAACCCTTGAGCAGATAAATAAAGCTTGCCATGTCTGTAAAGTAATGCATGCCAGCACCAGCCCAGTATCATCGTGCGCATGAGGTCGAGTCTGCCGACCATGCTGCCCTGCAACTTAGCTTATGCACGGCTTACTCACATGCGACCAGAATATAGGTTCAGGTCGTAGTTGAACATCCAGAACATCCGAGATGGTTATGTGGCCTTATACAAGGATGTGGACGTTAGGATGGTTGGACCTCTGCTGCGATGCCGGTGCTATCGACCTACGAAGTTCCAGTTACAGGGTTGGGGGCCAGATGCCTAGCCTGTCTTCATTTCAAGAACAGATAAACGCAGTCGTCGCAAGTATTCATGGTTGCTGGGGACCCAACACAGATATGTAACCTGAAAATGTAGCTCGAAAAGGGCAACTTCATGTCCGAAATCCGAACACTCAATTGAAGACCAAAAGTCCGCAGCAGAAATGCCGAATGCAGAATCCTCTGCTGTTGCTACTGCCATATATCAACTACAGCTACTACAGCTGCTGCTACTACTCGTACTACTACTACTACTACTACTACTACTACTACTACTACTACTACTACTACTGCTGCTGCTGATACTACTACTACTACTACTACTACTACTACTACTATTACTACTACTACTACTACTACTACTACTACTACTGTACTACTACTACTACTACTACTGTACTACTACTGTACTACTACTACTACTACTACTGCGACTACTACTACGACTGCTACGACTACAACTACTACTGCTACTGCTACCGCTACTGCTACTACTGCTACTACTACCACTACTACTACTACTACTACTGCTACTACTACTACTACAACAACAACTACTACTACTACTACAACTTTACTACACTACTACGTTGCTACTACTAGGCCTAGTCCTGGGTCTGCTCCTGCTGCTGCTGCTGCTATTGATACTGCTACAGCTACTACTCCTGCTGCTACTACTAGTAGCTGCACTGGTATTGGTGCTAGCTTAGTACTGGTACAGTGCGCCGGCAATTTGGAACCAGTAACGGGGGTTGCGATGAAATGTCATCTGGGTCGTTTTGCTTGGAGCAAGTTCTGCCCCGGATGACGGGGGGCCCCTTGGAGGGGTATATTGGGGGAGAGGACCAGCCAGTCATCTTGGTACTCTACGTCGTCTTGGCAATCCAAGAATACCATCGGTCATCTTGCCGCCCCGGAGGGTGCAAGTTTCGCAAGCGGTCCAAATGGTGCAAGTGGTGCGGGATCGCTAAGATCACCAAGACCAGCATGCCGTCTCGTCGGCTCAAAAAAATGCTGAACGCCGATCTTATAACTAGGTTAATTACCCAAATTACCTACGTCACGTGCAACAGTTAGCAGCTAGCGGTTCTAATCTGCCGGCGTAATGTACTAGTGCTGCTACTACTACTACTGCTGCTACTACTACTACTACTGCTACTACTGCTACTACTACTACTACTACTACTACTACTACTACTACTACTACTAGTACTACTACTGCGACTACTACTACTACTACTACTACTACTACTACTACTACTACTACTACTACTTTTCCCTTCTCCTACAACTAGAACTACAACTACACGTACTAGTAGTAGTGCTACTACTACGACGACTACTACGATTACGACTACGACCACTCGTACTACTACTACTACTTCTTCTTCTACTGTTGCTACTTCTACTACTGCTACTACTGCTGCTCATACGAGGACTACTACGATTACGACTACGACCACTAGTACTATTACTACTACTTCTTCTACTACTATTGCTGCTACCTTTGCTTCTACTACTGCTACTACTCCTACTACTGCTACTGCTGCGACTACTGCTACGGCTTCAGCTTCGAATCGACTACTACGGCTTCAGCTTCGAATCGACTCTAATAGTGATATTGCACCGCTTCCTGCTGCTCCTACTCCTGCCCCGACCCCTACCCCTACTCCGACTCATGCTCCTGCTCCTACTCCTGCTCCTAATCTAGAGATCACAGCGAGCAGAACTATCCCAACATTGGGGTTTTCTGAAGCCATTGTTTTAGGTATGACGTTCTCCAGTGCCTCCGCGTATTTCGCAGGTTTCAGGGTTTGTCGGTGCAAATCTCCCGGCTTCGTTAGTGTTGCGCTCTCCTCTCGAACTTGCTTTGTGTCGGGTTAGGGGGTTTCGGGGAATGAGGACGTCGTTTGATATGTACCAGGTGATGACCTTGACGACAATGAGGCAGATGATGACAATGATGATGATGAGGATGATACGGGGAGGTGGTGATAGCAACCGGTCCGTCGTGCGTTTGGCGTATAGTAGTCGTCGTCGTAGTAGTAGTAGTAGTAGTAGTAGTAGTAGTAGTAGTAGTAGTAGTACTAGTAGTACTAGTAGTACTAGTAGTACTAGTAGTACTAGTAGTACTAGTAGTACTAGTAGTAGTAGTAGTAGTAGTAGTAGTAGTAGTAGTAGTAGTAGTAGTAGTAGTAGTAGTAGTAGTAGTAGTAGTAGTACTAGTACAGCAGTAGTAGTAGTAGTAGTAGAAGTCGTCGTTGTAGTGGTCGTAGTAGTAGTAGTAGTAGCAGTAGTAGTCGTCGTCGTAGCAGTCGTAGGCGTAAGAGTAGGCGTTGGAGTAGGAGCTCCTATCTGAACGCCAAAACATTGAACACGTCAACAGCCGAGGCCTCCTGCAGAACCAACGCATCCCGAAGGAGCAGCTTCACCAGCTCCTGGCGCCATTACTTTGTTTTCTGTTTTTTTTTGCAGGGCTTGAGCTCCCAGAGTTGCCAATGCCCCTTTAGGGTTTAGGATTTAGGGTTTAGAATATGCAAATTATAGGGGGCTGAAGGTTTGATGCACATTCCTTGGTTAAGGGGTATTAGGCCCTATGGGCCTCAGCGTCTAACCCGGGGACGCTGCTATTTACAATACCTGCGTGGACTTTCATTAATTCTGAGACTCTATGAGGCCCTGTGAAGCCACATAGAGAACCTTGAAACAATATGGGAGTTTCCGAAAACTAGGGGTGCCTTAAGGTACTATATTGGGGTCCCCTATTTTCGGAAACTCCCAATATGAACAGACGACGCCCGTACACCCCTACAACATTGTGAAAGCCACTTACCGCCCAACAAGGAACCCAAAGCCTTGTTCAACCCTACCAAGAAAACCTTAACCCCTACACTTAAACACTTTCAACAAGAACACGAAACAACGGGAGTCCTGAAACCTCAGCTCCTCCGCAAAGTCTAAACTCTAAACGATACCCCTTAACCCTACACCCGGACTGCACCCCCCCCCTACACCCCGACACCTTATCCCCTAACCCCTAAACCCCTAAACCCCAATGCTCCCACACCCTAAACCCCTAAACCCTGCGCCCCAACCCCCAAAAACCCCCCAAAGGAAACCCTTGAAGGGCCTCCACAGGTGCTTGACTCAAACTACCCCACGGTGAACCCCTAATATAGTGGCCTTAATGATTAGGATGGGGCTTTGGGGGATAAAATACCAAAAGATAGTATAGGTAATTGTTAGGGCCCCTCTACTACACCCAACTCTAAACCCTAAGCCCCTAAACCCTAAACCCAATGCCCTAAACCCCTAAACCCCAAACCCTCAACCCGTAAACCCTTAACCCCCAAACCCCTAACCACACCCCTTCCCTCCACCCACCATATAACTGCCCACCTGTAAATGGCTTACTCCTCCTAAACCCTAAACCCTAAACCCTAAACCCTAAATTCCTAAACCCTAGACCCTACACCCCCAAGTCCAGCCTTGTCGTCGAGGAGGCCGCCCTCCTCCAGGCCAAGGGCCTTTCGAAGGATCTTGTGTTCTAGGATACCCTTAAAGGAGCCCTTAAAGGAAACCGTAGAGATCCCTTTAAGGGTTCCCTTTGAGGCATCCTTTTAAGGATCCCTTAAGAGGCTAGGATACCCAGTAACCTAAGAATAAAAAGGCATCCCTTTTTGGTATTGGGTAACCCTTATAAGGAACCTAGGACTACAAAAAGGGAATAAGGGTACTACTGGGCATCCTAGTGTTTATGTTTTGGGGCGTTTAGGGCTTAGGACTGCTAGGGGCCTTTCGATCGATCTTGTGTTTAAGTTTTGTGGGGTTTAGGGTTCAGGGCTTCTAGCAGCCTTTCGGAGGATCTTGTGCTTAAGTTTTGGGGCGTTTAACAACGGTTGAAACCATGGGCCCCTAGTATGGGCCCTTAACCTTGGGATCCTTATATACCTACTATATACTCTATATAGACTCTCAAGGGTCCCTGGAACCCCCTCAAAAAGGCCTAAGGGTCCATATTAGGGGCCCATGCTTCCAACCTTGGAGTTTAGGGTTCAGGGCTTCTAGAGGCCTTTCGAAGGATCTTGTGTTTAAGTGTTGGGGTTTAGGGTTTAGGGCTTATAGGGTTTAGGGTTTCGTGTTGTGGGGTTTCAGGCCATTTAGGGTTTAGGGAACTTCCTGTTTAGGGTTTATTGAACTTCGAACTAGGTTTCGGGGCATAGTAGAATGTTCAGGGTTCCTTTGAGGGCTGTGTTTAAGGATTCTCTCTTGCCTTGGGGCTTCGAGTGACAGCATAGAGTGTGTTACGTTGAGAGTTTCTATAAAAAGTTTTCTAAGGGGCGTCTACAAGGGCTGTGATAATAACACCCTAAACGGCCTGACACCCCAAAACATGAACTCTAAAACCTAAACCTTATAAGCCCAAAACCCTAAACCCCCCTAGTTACTAAGTCTCCTGATCCTTAAAGTACTGGCCCACAAAAACCCTAAACCCCTAAACCTACTAGATAATGAATAAAATTAAGGCCTAACATCCCCAAAGGACTAATATCCCGAAACCCTATAGTAAAAGCCAGAAAGTTGCAACATCATTACGCTCATGCCCTTAAGGTAATGTATAAGGGATCCAAGCACGAATCCTCCAAAAACCATGTTCCAACTTTCCGGGGTCCACCG